TTAAAATAACTCCATTCATTATTCCAAAACAAGAAAAAAGCAAAACACAAAAATGGATGCTTTAGACAATGTAAATGAAATTACATACATATAAAAAAAAGCTAATACTTCACCTGATCCCAGGCTTTTGCTGCCTTCAAAGTAACCTGTCTTGGTTTACGATAACTTTTTTTATGTTTCTGACAATGAGCCAATCTCGGGTCATCCTTTTATACAAGTGAGTTATTCTTTTCAACAGAGAATGACTATTTTGCCAAACAGTAAGCAAAATATGTCAATCTCAAAGTTCAACTGAAAGTGTCTCTCAGTTAACTCTAAAGCTCAGTAAAAGTGTCAGTCCAAAACTCTAGGTAAACCCTCAATTAGCCTGATTGCCACTTTCATAAAATTTTAAGCACAGATTTCTGATAGTTTGGGTAACTTCCCAAAAGTCGTCTGAAAAGTAAGCCATCCTGGTCTCCAAAATTCCCTCCTTTTTTATTCTCAAGAACACTTCTTAGTCTCCAGGTGACAGTGTAGTGTTGTGGTCAAGGTCATAAGCTAGACTAGGGAGTGTTCCCATTTTGGTTCTGCCATGACTAGTGGTGGGATTTAGGCAAATTGCTCAAATCCTCTAAGCTTGTTTTCTAGTTTGTAAATTGCAGATAATAATACTGTGTTTTATATAGAGTAATTGTGTGGATTAAATGAGCTGATATACATAACTTAGCATGTTGACTGGCAAAAAAGTATAATCCCCTCCCTTTATTTTTTCCCATTTGTATTTCTCATTATAATTGTCATTTTGCTCTGAGAAAGAGCATTGGAGAGGGGGTATAATGAGAATGGAAAAACAATTCAGCTGGTCCTAGAATCGATCCCAGCTTTTTATTTCAACCAGCTGCGCTGGGTCACTCCAAAGCAAGTGTTTTCTATCTCTCTACCCTTTGGTACCACTTTAGTTCAAAAGACATGGCCTCTGTCTCTGCAGTTCTTCACATATATCTTTTTCCAAATATATGTTCTTCTAAAAGAATAAGTGCAAAGGCAAAAAGTAAATTTAGCCCATCAAGCTGTATTGAAATGTTAAATCAATTTTTTAAGAAAGAAAAAATACTGACAAAAACTTTCAAAATAGAAATCTGAAGATAGTTTTCATTTAAAAAAAAAGTGTTCTGGTAAAAGCCCTAATGAATCTAAATAATATCTTCTATACACTAGGCAAAGTCATCATCATCAAACATTTACTGAGTGCCTACTCAATGCCAAACACTGTTGGATTCTGGAAATACAAACAGGTAAATGACAAGACACCTGTTCCAGGGGAACACATTGTCCAGTTGAGGACACAGGGCCAAACATGGCCCTAGACTTCCTAAAGTCTAGAAATACGAAATCAACAAGACAGACAAAAAGTCCCTCAGCAGATGAGAAGGTAGTTCCAGGGCCATCAGTATAATTTTTACGCAGCAAGTATAAAACATGAAGACCTGAAAACTCAGACTTTTCGAGTATCCGTAGTGATTACTTACAAGACTTACATCAGCACAATGGTCTTGGTGACCTCTCAGAGGAATTGTAGGTTTCATTCACTCCTGTCGTCCCCCCAAGCCTACCTCATCCCAGTGCTGATTTGGATGGTCAGTTGCTGTACTTTGAACTGGATCATAATGGAGCATTCACAGAGGTAAAAGTTTCACACTTGTATGACCTTACCCTTCACTTCTTCTAAGATGCGGTAATGGTAGTAAGGGAAGGAAAAGACTGACTAACTCTCCCTCAATATTTGCCTTTCTGGACTCTCTCATTGACAGGAGTGTGGTGAAGTAAGGCTAAGCTTAGAACCTGATTTCCCCTTAGAAAGCTTGGTCCTTCTCTCCCTTTCTCTCTTTATCTACTCTCTCTCTTCCACAAGGTGGCTTAACGACAGCCCAAGCAGGTCCAGGGAGGGCACATGAAGGCTCCTGCTGTCCTCATGTCTCACACCTTGGCACTAGGAAGTAGAATTTTCACCACACGAGAATGGTGAGATCTAAATGTGGATTGGATATTGGGGTAGAAATGGTCAGAACAAGTTTGTGGCCTTCTTGTTTTTCAGACTATTTATGCCATCCCAGTATATATAGATCGGAGTTTTTCTGTGAGTCCTGGTTGGCTCCCTCTTGTCCTGCTTTGGAGTTTGGGGGTGAAGTCCCAGCAGTTGTTACAGTGTGATGTCACTGTGCTGTGTTGATTAGTTTATCCCACGCATACACTTTCTTTGAGGATGTCTCAGGAAAAGATGGCCAAGACAGGAAAGAATTTGAACATCTCTGAATCCTCTGGCTAAAAGCCATCCAAATATCATACTGACATTAATTCTTAACAGCACCCATTCTTTTATTTTGAATAGCTCTACCTAGAAGGCATAAGAAAAAGTAAATAGGAATACCATATTCTGTCATATATATGTCATTTCTTTGACATTTTCAAAACAGGAGCAATGAGTTGCCGGGGGGGTGGTGCAGATTTGAACTCCCAGTCTCTCTGATAGGTGGAGCATAGAAGCCAATAGACAGATACCTTTTTATTTCCAATGATTACATATTGGCCAAACAGGAATTTCTTCATCTTCAATTTTAGCAACAAAAAGAGCCAGATTCCCCTGAAAGACCACGTTCACTTTAATATACAAGCTAAAAAAAGGAAAAAAAAAAATTGTCTAGTCATTCAATCTAGTCAGGTGCATTCAGGACAGGAAAAAGAAAAGTGGGAAGCAGGGGTGGGTTGGTGACAATAGATCCAGTCCGGCTCTCTCTTAGCTGGCCCTGGGGGTGGTTTCTGAGCCTAATTTTGGCTCTGTCTTCACAGCAATCTTTAGGACTGTAAGGAATTTAACATCTCTTGTGCTCAGTTTTTGGCTTAACCTGAAAATCTGAGACAATGGGAAAAGTCTCACTTAACAACCTATTAAATTTGTACACCCGCTCCAAATTCTGCAAAATGTCAGCAAAACCAGCAATATCTAAGATAAACTCAGGAAATGCCAAAATAATCAATGAAATATCATAATCATTAAAGTTCTCTTCGCAGTTGGAAAATTACCAAACCTCTTTGCCATAAGCAGCTCTGATTTTATTCTCAAAGGCCTTTGACTATTAAAAATATGTATACAGAATAGATATATAGCCATGTATTGCACTCAGAGGATGTGCCAAATAGATATGCCCGCCCAGAAAAATGATAATATTCACAAGTCAGTTATTGACTTCCCCTTCAAACCCTCTGGGCCAGCTATTTGTCGTTTGGCTCTCGGCATTCTGGAATCTCCTCTGTATGTCAGGATGGCTGGGAGCCTGTAAGCCACATCTCACAGACTTCCTTGCCAACTGCTTTCTAGTGGGTTCTGCCAATGGGAGGCACCGTTAGGGGCTTGATTTTTTTTTTTTTTTCTGTGTCTGATGGTGCATGGAAGCATCAAGGAGCTGGGCAGGGCGAGTGAAGGCTGGGGAGTCCCATCAGGCAGTGCAATTGTTCAGCAAAGGCAGAGATGGTGCTCCGTTCGCCTCAGCAGCACGGTGCTCGTGAGCTCTGGCTCCAGTAGCAGTAGCTGCTGCAGCCTCTGAAGACAGAGACAGTGGGCCCCTGAGTTCCTGCAGCACATGTGAGGTGTGGTGTCCGAGCTGCCTGCAAAGGGTGGGGTAGTTGCAACGGCAGCGAGCAGCAGTAGTACCTCAACAGGCTCTTGAGCACAGCAACGCTGGGCCCTGGGCAACCGCATTTCCTCTGCTGCTTCTCCAGCCAGGCAGGTGGTAGGTGGGTAACCTCACCTTTCCCTCTTCACTCCTTCAGTCTTGCCGACAATTTCATAACCAATTCTTTATGTTTTCCTAGTTCTCCTGAATGAACACTTAACAATACACCTCTGTCTCCCTTCATACCAATGAATCAGAAGAAAACATAAGGATGCCTTTTTTGTTAATTTTTCATATAGGTGTATATGTATTGGATGAATGCTGAAAGATCATACAATTTACAAAGAACTTAAGAGGGCAGAATTAGTACATCCCTGATGTGAAAAACATTAGAAAGTTATAGAATTCAGGTTGAATAGGATAAACACATACATGCAACCCTGAAATCCCACCAAAACAAAAGGTATGAGACCAGAAAGACAAAGAAGGCAGAAGAGGGAATGAGGCAGCAAGGACAGTAGACAAAGATGAAAACACCAATTCATAAGATGGAAATGACATGGCTAGTGGAATCTGATTAGCAGCCCTCAGAAAGCTGAAACCAAAGATTCAAGTAGCAAATCATCAAAAAGTCTCAGAAATATATTTAAAAAATCAGAAATCCTGGGGTGCCTGAGTGGCTCAGGCAGTTAAGCGTCTGCCTTCAGCTCAGGTCATGATCCCAGGGTCCTGGGATCGAGTCCCGCATCAGGCTCCCTGCTCAGTGGGAGGCCTGCTTCTCCCTCTCCTGCTCCCCCTGCTTGTGCTCTCTCTCTCTGTCAAATAAATAAATAAAATCTAAAAAAAAAAAAAACCCAGAAATCCAAGTAGCTTCAGACTAAAAAATTATAACAGCAAATCAACAGAAATCAACAAAGTAACACTTTAAATTCTTTTTTTATTTTATTTTTTATTTTATTATGTTATATTAATCACCATACATTACATCATTAGTTTTTGATGTAGTGTTCCATGATTCATTGTTTGCATATAACATCCAGTGCTCCATTCAGTACGTGCCCTCTTTAATACCCATCACCAGCCTAACCCATCCCCCTATCCCCCTCCCCTCTAGAACCCTCAGTTTGTTTCTCAGAGCCCATAGTCTCTCATGGTTCGTCTCCCCCTCCAATTTCCACCCCCTTCATTTTTCCCTTCCTACTATCTTCTTTTTAACATATAATGTATTATTTGTTTCAGAGGTACAGGTCTGTGATTCAACAGTCTTACACAATTCATAGCACTCACCATAGCACATACCCTCCCCAATGTCTATCACCCAGCCACCCCATCCCTCCCACCCCCCACCACTCCAGCAACCCTACGTTTGTTTCCTGAGATTAAGAATTCCTCATATCAGTGAGATCATATGATACATGTCTTTCTCTGATTGACTTATTTCGCTCAGCATAATACCCTCCAGTTCCATCCATGTCATTGCAAATGGCAGGATTTCATTCCTTTTGATGGCTGCATAATATTCCATTGTACATATATATACCACATCTTCTTTATCCATTCATCTGTTGATGGACATCTTGGCTCTTTCCATAGTTTGGCTATTGTGGACATTGTTGCTATAAACATTGGGGTGCACATAACCCTTCAGATCCCTACATTTGTATCTTTGGGGTAAATACCCAGTAGTGCAATTTGCTGGGTTGTATGGTAGCTCTATTTTCAACTTTCTAAGGAACTTCCATGCTGTTTTCCAAAGTGGCTGCACCAGCTACCATTCCCACCAACAGTGTAGGAGGGTTCCCCTTTCTCCACATCCCCGCCAACATCTGTTGTTTCCTGACTTTTAATTTTAGCCATTTTGACTGGCATGAGGTGGTACCTCATTGAGGTTTGGATTTGGATTTCCCTGATGCTGAGTGATGTTGAACACTTTTTCATGTGTCTGTTGGCCTTTTGGATGTCTTCTTTGGAAAAATGTCTGTTCATGTCTTCTGCCCATTTCTTGATTGGATCATTTGTTCTTTGGCTGTTGAGTTTGATAAGTTCTTTATAGATTTTGGATACTAGCCTTTTATCTGATATGTCATTTGAAGATGTCAATGCTACCTAGAGCAATCTACACATTTAATGCAATCCCTATCAAAATACCACCCACTTTTTTCAAAGAAATGGAACAAATAATCCTAAAATTTGTATGGAACCAGAAAAGACCTCGAATAGCTAGAGGAACATTGAAAAAGAAAAGCAAAGCTGGCAGCATCACAATTCTGGACTTTAAGATCTATTACAAAGCTGTCATCATCAAGACAGTATGGTACTGGCACAAAAACAGGCACATAGATCAATGGAACAGAATAGAGAGCCCAGAAATGGACCCTCAATTCTATGGTCAACTAATCTTCAACAAAGCAGGAAAGAATGTCCAATGGAAAAAAGACAGTCTCTTCAACAAATGGTGTTGGGAAAATTGGACAGCCACATGCAGAAGAAAGAAACTGGACCATTTCCTTATACCACACACAAAAATAGACTCCAAATGGTTGAAAGACCTCAATGTGAGACGGGAGTCCATCAAAATCCTAAAGGAGAACACAGGCAACAACCTCTTCGACCTCAGCCGCAGCAACTTCTTCCTAGAAACATCACCAAAGGCAAGGGAAGCAAGGGCAAAATTGAACTATTGGGACTTCATCAAGATAAAAAACTTTTGCACAGCAAAGGAAACAGTCAACAAAACCAAAAGACAACCAACAGATTGGGAGAAGATATTTGCAAATGACACTTTAAATTCTAAGGGAAAGTTATTTCTAACCAAAAACTCTACCTTCAGCTATACTTTAATCAAAAGTAAAGGTAGAATTAAAATGTTCTCAACATGTACAATCTCCAGAAATTTTATCTTGTATGCAGCCATTTGTTTAAAAAAAAAAAAATCCTAGAAGATGTGCTCCATCAAGACAAAGAAATAGACCAAGAAAGAGGAAGACAAAATCTAAGAAACAAGAAATTTAATTCAGGGGGAAATAAAAAAGAAGAAAAATTCCCAGCAATGACTGCCAAGAATATCAGTTAAGGTCCTTGGCCTAGAAAGCAATGAATCCTGATTGGCATAGGAGGATAGTGGGCTCCAGGAAAGACAGAGAGAGAGAAGGAGGGAAGGAAGGAAGGAAGGAAGGAAGGAAGGAAGGAAGGAAGGAAGGAAGGAAGGGAGGGAGGGAGGGAAGGAAGGAAGGAAGGAAGGAAGGAAGGAAGGAAGGAAGGAAGGAAGGAAGGAAAGGAAGGAAAGGAAGGAAAGGATGGAAGGAAGGAAAGATGAAAGGAAGGAAGGGAGAAAGGAACCTAGACATTATGTGTTCAAAGGCATGAATTTTATTGAAAGCTATTTTATAGTACTGTGAAAAAGTTTGGGGCTAAAATAGCCATGGGGACCTAGATAACAAACCAAATGACATAATAAAAACTTGTGAAACGAGGAGAAATGTAATCATAGTATAATACAAATTTAAGCTATAAACACTGATGTATTAGAAAAGCATGATATAGGGATGCCTGGGTGGCTCAGTCAGTTAAGCATCTGCCCCTGGCTGAGGTCATGATCCCAGGGTCCTGGAATCCAGTTCCACATCAGTCTCCTTGCTCAGTGGGGAGCCTGCTTCTCCCTCTCCCTGCTGTTCCCCCTGCTTGTGTGCTCACTCTTTCTCTGACAAATTAAAAAAAAAAAATCTTAAAAAAAAAAAGCATGGTATAACTATAATGGGAGAATAGGAGGAAAAACAGGTGTATGCATTGACAGTAGGGCTGAGGAGGCATTGTAAAAGAGAAAATCCTAAACTTTCAGAGAAGGAAACTAATAGATAATATCTAAAATTAAAAACAAAAATACAGAACTATCAATAAAGTATAGTATTAGAAATTGGGATGTAAATGCCAGATTAAACAGCTAAAAATGATTGAAAATAAAAGTTTGCTTGAAGAGAATGAGAAGAGGACAGGAGTGCCCTTCTATTTGTTTGCTTGTTTGTTTGTCTTTAAGCTTGTAGTACTGTTTGGATTTTAAATTTAAGCACAAGTATTACTTTGAGAATATAATTAAGTCTTTAAAAATTAAAAAATAAGGAGTTTGGGTGATGTCATATACATGCAGTACTCTAAACAACAATAAATTGAAACATATGAGAATCAAGTTACATTTTCTTTAATGAAATTAAACATTAACTATTTAATTTATTTCTTGCCATCTTTATGCACTACTAATATACTTTGCAATTTTCACTACATGCAAAAATAAATTTCACCCAATATCAGGTAACACTTCCATAAATTTTGAATTGACTGGGTGTCAAACTACCTAGGATACTAAAGTATTCTGGTACGTCCTGTTCTGATTATTATTACTACATAATGAGTCATCCCAAAACATAGCAGCTTAAAGTAATGGTAAAAATAATATTATCCCTCTCGTTTTGGGGGTTCTTGCTTGAGGTCTTTCATGGAGTCACATTCAGATGACCAGGGTTGCTGAAGTTAGAGTAATCTCAAAGGCTCCCTCACACATACGTGTGGCTGTTGATGCTGGCTGTTGATGGGACCCCAAATGAGGCTGTCAGCCAAGATGCCAAATCATAGTCTTCCCAGGTAGTCGGGCTTCCTCACAGCATGGCAGTTGGCTTTTAAAGATGAACATCCCAGTGGACAGGCAGAAACTTTATCATTTTTAATGACCTAGCCTCAGAAATCACAGAGCATTATTTCCTTAATAGTCCCAATCACCCCAAAATCCAAAGGAAAGGAAAATAGATCCTCACTTCTCAACCAGAGGAGTGTCAGTGTCACATGGTAAGAAAAGAATGTGGGAAAGGGGATTTTTTTTTTTTTTGCACCTGCTTGTGTTCCCTCTCCCGCTGTAACTCTCCCTATCAAATAAATAAATAAAATCATTTAAAAAAAAGAATATACAATCTACCATAGGTCTCTTTGTTCCAATATAGAAAAATCTACATTCACATAATGTCAAATAACCAGTAACTATCTTCAAAAGGAGATATGCTTACACCAGCAGATTTTTACCTGGGACATATATGCTTTGTAGGGGGAAGGAGATGAAATAATTTTCAGGAAGTAATCTTCAGATCCCAAGTTTCACATGCACTCTTTCCAAAATTTGACTGCCTGAGAATATTCGTGCCAGTTGTTCTTTTAAAAAAGAGAGGCATCTTATGACGGTACATTGACCCTGAATGTAAAAATCTCCAGAGTTGCAAACAATAGGACAATTCAAAATATCGGTGTTGGTATTAAGAAAGTAAATGACTAATAACTGAGTCATAAAATCTGGAATCGGTTTCGATTCTTTGCCTTTAACAAAACTGAAAGAAGACCTAATTAAGATGACAGCTGGTAGATCATTAAAAATAATTTTTGATGATAGATAACTATGTGATTTTGGCATATAACTTGGAAGGAATTCAAATATTTGAGTGACATTGCTAAAACAAAACTCTTTCCATTCTCATCTACTTATTTATGGGAATATGTTGTCTCAGGTTTTACATCCATAAAAACAAAAATAGAATAGATTGATGCTGAGCTTTGTCTCATTCTAGCAATAAGTAATATGCATTCACAGATACATACATTTATTGAACAAAAAATAGCCCAACCATTAGAATAATGGATACATTTTTAATAAATTTTATCTTTATGTTTATCTAAATGTATAATTATTTATGTTGTTTAGGTTAATTTTGTATTGACTCGTGTAATGAAAAATCAATTCAGAAGAAATTTTAACACTTGGGAGTTGTATAGTCACAAATTTTTAATTACTTTTCAATCTACGTATTTGTTTTTATGGCAGGAAGAAGCGATCACTAAAAGATTTTCGGGCAGAAAGAAATGTATTAGACTAGGATAAAATTTTATTGGAAAAGTGCTATAGAAATAGGAGTTCAGAGAAAAATAAATGAAGAATTTCTGACTATTAAAATGAGTTTGTTCATGTATTTTTATATGGCTTATGGCAGCAATCAAATGGATACGTTTCAAAGACTAATGAAATTTTTATGTTAATGTTCACAATTTTCTGTAAACTATATATTTTACAACTAGTTAAGCTTATGATGAGAAATTTTAGAGGTCAACAAAAATTTGTGAGGTGGGATATGTTTCAAAATTGACTTGAGACCATCAATTTAGAATCTTAAAATACCCTCCAAAACAATATGATATCTGAACCTAATTTAACAGCAAGTATTTTGCATAGTTATTTTTGTTGTTAGCTGAAAGAAGGAGCCTCTGAACATTTTCATATCCTGTTCAACTATACAGTTGTTTTTATTGTACATTATGTACCTAACTGTGAGGCAAGTCCATAGCACAACAAGAGAAGAAAATCTTGTTTTATTAAACCTGGCAAAAAATTGGTATGGTTGAACTTTATTATCATGTCAAAGACTAATTAATTAGAGCTGAGATTTCTGGTTTTACCTAGAACTTTTTTTTTTTTTACATACATGAAAGAACATACCTAGGATTAAAAATCTACATTGTTACATCTTTGAGGAGTATAGAGCATATTGAAATACAGAAGTAAATGCTTGCTCATTTCCTTTGAAGATTATTGGTGATATATACTGAATATACGATGTGGAAATCCAGATATGTACTCCTTGCTCTTTTTTCAGTGCTTCAGTGCCCACCAATAGCAAGTTTGAAATAATCTTAATGGTATCATATATCCCAAGGCTCATCATGGTGCCTGGCACAGGATAGATGTTCAATATCTGTTTGTTGAATTATCAAGTAAATGAAAGAACTGGGATTCATTCATTTAATGAGATGGTCAGCAAGCCTTTTCCAGTTTCAGAAGTTTTTTATTGAAGTGCAAATTTACATTTGAGTTATATCATCTGAGTAGTGGTTCCCAAAAGTCAGCCCATAATCTGACTGCATCAGTATCACCGAGAGGATGTGTTATAAATTTAATTTCCTGTACCCCCACCCCATGTTACTAAATTACATCCTGGAGGGGGGGTGAGGTCTGGGATTCTTCATTTTTTTTTTTTTTAAGATTTTATTTATTTATTTGACAGAGAGACACAGCGAGAGAGGGAACACAAGCAGGGGGAGTGGGAGGGGCGGGGGAAGCAGGCTTCCCGCAGAGCAGGGAGCCCGATGCAGGGCTCGATCCCAGGACCCCGGAATCATGACCCGAGCCAAAGGCAGACGCTTAACGACTGAGCCACCCAGGTGCCCCAGGGATTCTTCATTTTTAATAGGCTCCCCAGTTGATTGTCATACATATAATTGACAGGACTCAGGAGAATCAGTTTTGGAAACAAGAAAAAACAGGGTAGATTCATTCAGAGAATGAGAAGGCAGGAAACTGCACGCAGTTTCAGGGGGGAAAATAGTCTGGCCAGGGGCACCTGTGCTAGAAATGAAACAATGCCAAACATTTGTCATGTGCTCAAGATTCAAATTTGAGGGAGAGGGTGTCAGCTCTATCTTGGTCATATTGGCATCCCATTTAGGGTGGGGTCGGTCAGGGCCATGATTAGGAAGTAGTTCCACTAGGCTGCATCTGATACAGAAGAGGGTTTCTCATAAACATAAATCAAAATGCTGCTGGAAA